TTTTTATTATCCTGTCTTAACATCCCATAAACGGATAGAGTTATCTAGACTACCAGATGCTAATGTATTACCATCAGGAGAGAAATTGATTGAATAAACATAATTTGTATGTCCATCTAATTTGGCTTTTTATTATCCTATTTAAACATCCCATAAATGGATAGAGTTATCTCTACCACCAGATGCTAATGTAGTACCATCAGGAGAGAAATTGACCGAAGTAACATAATGTGAATGACCATCAAATTTAGCTTTTTATTATCCTGTCTTAAGATCCCATAAACGGATAGACTTATCCCAACCACCTGATGCTAATACAGTACCATCAGGAGAGTAACAAATTGAATTAACACAATTTGAATGACCATCTAATTTGGCTTTTTATTTTCCTGTCTTAACATCCCATAAACGAATGTAATTATCTACACTGCCAGATGCTAATGTAGTACCATCAGGAGAGAAATTGACTGACATAACATAACCTGAATGACCATCAAATTTGGCTTTTTATTATCCTGTCTTAACATCCCATAAACGGATTGAGTTATCTCTACTACCAGATGCTAATGTTGTACCATCAGGAGAGAAATTGACTGAATAAACATGATGCTTATGACCATCTAATTTAGCTTTTTATTATCCTGTCTTAACATTCCATAAATGGATAGTCTTATCTTCACTACCAGATGCTAATATAGTGCCATCAAGAGAGAAATTGACCGAAGTAACATAACTTGAATGACCATCTAATTTTGCTTTTTATTTTCCTGTTTTAAGATTCCGTAAATACACAAATACTTTGCTACTGTAAGCTAATGTAATATTATCAGGTGAGAAGCATACTGATTTTACCTTTTCCTTGATCTTGATTCTGAACTTTATTTTCCCTGTTTTAACATTCCACAAGATAATCGAATTATCATCACTACCTGAAGCTATTGACTTGATGTCTGGAGAAAAGCATACTGAGTTGACGCTTCCATCATGACCATCTAATTTATTTAACTCATGTATTTTTATATTTTTCCATTTGCAATGAAACAATTAAGCTTAACTCAAGTTTATTCCACTAATGTCTACATTTTAAAATTCTGATCCATTGAAATTGCATTGCACAAAATTTCCACCAACTAAAGAGGTGTCTCTAATCCTGATATTCTCGAAACTTTATTTCCTCAAATCCACATTCATTTAAACTAGTAAATGAAGAGAATTTGATCCACACTAAATGTATCTCTCATCTAAGGCAGTCAGATGAACTAAAAATTTTAGAAATTATATTATTTTTTTATCCTATGATAATGTTATGATCAGTGCTTTCTTAATTTCTTCATTTTCATCTATCGAGTAATTTTTTTGATTAAATTCATGATATTTTATAATTGACAGAACATTTGTAATTTTCTTAAGGTTACTTTTAATAGCATTTATTTTCCAATACTTATCAAAAAACTATATATTATCAAAGAAAAAAATGTATTTTTTGTAACGAAGTTGATATTAAAAATTTGAAAGAAATTTAAGAGAATCTGAATCTCCTTCCTTTAAGAGCATTTCAATTACAACATTGTAGATTTTAGCATCTATATCTTCAATAAATTATACTACCCCAAACAAGTCCCCTTTCCAGTTTTGAGTCATTTTTGTTAAAAATAATATTAAATTTCTTTTATTTAATGTGAGTTTTATAATATAATAGATCTTTTTTTTTAATTTATGCGTTGATGCAAATTATGGGAAACATTATATAAATAACCAAAGTGAGTGTCTAATGTAATTAATTACTTTCACATTTAATAATCTATCAATGTTAGAGATTATCAATGCAATTTGTTTCTCACTCCTCGTCTATTTAAATCTTCCAAATTAAAAAAGTACTTATATTTTATCCATTTTTATTATAATTCATTAATTAATTCATTGAAGATATCTGCCCTTCTACATTCCTCTCCAGACAATTCACAATTAAAAATTTTTCAAGGTGTAATTAAACAAAACTTTTATAATTTGCCCCATAAAAAAATTAGATATCCACTCAGTCTTATTTGAGAATCTATTGGAGAAAAGGTTATTTAAGAACATCTAGGCTAATTGATTGATAAAAAATTATAAACATATATCTTGTTTAAATTGATACTATGTGCACAAATAATAAAATAAAAATGAGCTTATCAGTTTAATCAATTATGCTTTCTTATAAATTAATACTTTAACAAAAAATTTGAAAATGAATTTTAAGACAAAGTTCTGAAATTTACTACATTTTTATTTAATCAATAGATTTAATTAATTTTACCAGATGATAATTTAGGAAAAATGGACTTAAAATTTAATGAAAATGAATTCTGCTCACATCTATTGATTTTTATCTATTTTGAATGAGGATAGTGGTCTTTAATGATTAATATTTACTGTTTGAAAAGCTTTCATTAATATTTTTCTTTCGCATCTGAGAAGATCAGTTTTAATCTCATATATTTCATTCTAGTTTAGTTTATTTAATAACATTTAATGCTAATCTAATTAAAAAACAATAATAACGATGTTTAGTTAATTCTTAGATTTCTGCCACTTTGTTTATTAATACTATCGAAAAATCGCCAATTTTTGACTTTATATTAAAAATTATTATATTAAAGATAAAAGTAGATTAATTTGTAATAAGATTATGCTTTATTAATGATAATTAATTTAAATTCTCCACTTTTTGCCAAGAATAAATCATATATCATATATATGATTTTGACAAGAATTCGAAATCCTATAGGAAGATGAAAGAATATAGTGTGAATGTCGTTCAAATGAAGATAATTGTTTTTTTAATAATAATATTTATAGTCAAAATACCTCCTGATGAATACGAATGGCAAGAACATTAATTACTGAAGAAAAAAGGAAAATAGTGACTTTATTATATAATTATCTATTGAATTTAGTACTTATAGTATTTTTGGTTAATTGATTGATGACAGAGAATGTTTGAAGACATGGAATTGATTTTTAAATATTAGTTTATATAAAAATTTCCTTACAAAATTAAATTTTGCTACAGCTAAGAAAATGCTTGTATTGCTAAACTGTTTAGTTGCCTCATAATCTGACTTTAATAAGATTAATGTAAACAATTACAATAAATTTATTTATTATCGCTTTCTATATAATTGAACTTAATGAAATTAATAACCAATTAAAATAACCTTTTCTGAAGATTATTTCACAATTTATTTCTTGTGACTATTGCAAATATCAATCCGTATTCTTCATGTCCTTTTCGGTTGATCATACTGCGGTGCAACATAAAAGGTAGAGTTCTTTCTTAAACCTCTAAAGTCACTTATTTGCTATTTTATAAACTAAAGCAGTTCATATCCTTTAATATTCTAAGCATTAAAATAGCAAGGAATATATTTAGTATTACTTTGAAATTTCAACCTATAATAACTTCTATTCTTCAAATACTACAATTCATTTCTTCGTTTAGCTAAAGATGTGATTAAGATTAAAATTAATACTTAAACTAAAAGTCTTTACAATTTAACTATTTAAAAAAGAGATTTTAATTTAGTTATAAAGTTTAAAGATAAAAAGCTAATGAATAGGTTTTATTATTCTTATGAAAAGAAGGCAATTATTGAATCAATTCAAATCTTTGCATTATTTCAAATTATAAATGTATCTTACTGCATACTTCAAAAAGTATATTATATCAACTTTCCAAATTTAATTTTGTAAACCAATGGTATTATTTGTTATTGATATGCTTTTTCAAAGCAAAACTGATGATAATTACACAACAAAATCATTAATATCTTAATTTAACAATCATGATTATATAATCGAATCAATTTTTGTTTTGTTAATTACTTAAGAGCTTTTTATAACAAAATAAATCTATAATTAAATTAATACTTAACATTAATGAAATCAGTCCAATATGCATCCACCCAAATAACAGACATGTGTCGTAACTAAGCTCAAAAAAATAAATCAAGAATGATCTTGTGATTATCAAAAACAGGAATTCTCTATATTTTAGCTTACTTCCTTCATAAGGTGATTTTAAAGGTTTACACTTAATCAAGTATATAAGGTAATAAGATAAAGAGTACCATAGATTATACTTTGGGTATACTATAAATTCAAACAAATAATAAATTTGTAGTATAAAGTTTTATAAATGTAAAAGGGTTTATGATTGACAGCAAAAGATTAGATTTTCACATCTTAGTAAATTACTTCCATATTATTGATAATGAATATGGGAATAGATAATAGACAACAATTGTAAGCTTTTTATAGAAATTATAAATAAGCCACAAATGGGCAATAAGGCTATGGAATATTTAAAAAGGTGAATCAAAGTTAAAATTTGTAAAATACAATAGTGGACTAAAAAAAGATTAATAAAGTATTACTTAATGTACATTAGGAATTTCTTATGAAAATATTAATTCTTGAGCTTGAAACCAAATTATTGTACTTACTTTTAAAAAGATTTTTAGTTTAAGAAATCTTCGATTCTGCTTATATTTTTAATAATGCTTCAAGATTATTAAATTAAATCTATTTGAAAATAGAAAGTAATAAGTAAAATATAAATAAATTCAAGTAATTGCAGAAATAGCACCTTTTGGCATTCAAAAAAAAAATTGATTTAAAGTATTAGATTATTACTTTTTTATTTTGTTATTTTGAAAGAGTAGTTCCTCCATTTAAAGTAATGAATAATCCATTTAATTTGAAGTGATTTATGAATTTAGAAATTCTATTAAATGAGGTGGATACTAATATTATAGTTGAGTTAAACTATATTTGTTAAAGAGAAATTGTATTGTATGAAAAATAACTTAGATTATCAACAACTTATTGAAAGGCATTTGGTTATAATAGCTAGAATAAAAATCTTCACGATATTTACTCTATATGCACCTAAAATGCGATAATCATTATAATGAGATTAAAGAACATTATTGTATTTCAGTAATAGTAGCTAAGCTTGAAATCCCTATATAGAGTTCATAGTAACATCATTCATCTTAACAATAGATTTCAGTTTAGCCGATATATTTTCAGATAATACCAACGAATTTCCCAGATTAATTCATATGGAATATTTTTATAAATCTAACCAAATTCATTTAGGATGATATATTTAGCTAATTAAAATTCAAAAGATGGGTCTTAAACAAGTTCAATAAAGGCCTGGATAATTTAATATATGAGTAATTTAGATTGGCAGTTAAATTCTAGATCGGATTGATCATGAAATCATCTTTAGTATGTGACACAACATGGAATACAGCTAAATCTTCAAATGAAATATATAAGTTTATAGTTTAACTTATTAAGAGAAAGTTCAACAATTTCTTTTGAGTTCATTTTATCTGAAAGAATCATCAAATTGAAATCAGGAGCTACGATTTAAGTGTATTAACTTAATAAGTCAATTCTAGTTTAAATTTTATATGAATCGATAATAGTAAATGCATATAAACATCCTTTCGTCCTGATAATTGCAATCATCAAATGCTTAAATTTCAGTATTTTTTTTTTTTTGCAACACCGTAACCGCATTAATTAATATAAACATTGTCAATAAGGATTTAATAGATATCACATCTATTCTAGGTATATAATCAAACAAGAAAATAAAATTATCAAGTTTATTGATTATTTATAATTTATCATTGATAAGCCACTTAGAAGTTGAATGTCCTTTTGAAATGATTCATTATCACATTTTCTACATTTATTCATTTCTTCACATTCAATACTGCCCTATATCAAATAGTATATCCATCTTCGCATTTTTCAAGGTAAGGAATGATAACTCATCATCACAAATAGGAATAGATTACAAATTACATAACTAAAAATATTTTTAGCACACCAGACAAACATCTCGAAGAACAAACGAAATATACTTTCATGATATCTGATTTTCTCATTTCAGTGCATACTCCCATTTTACATAATACTAACAAAAATGAGATCTATCATATGATTTTGAATCAGCATTATCACAATCTTCTAGATAAACAATATTTTATCTCCACAGATAGATTCACAATGCTATTATTCTCTAAAGTATCCACTTTACCTAATTCACAAATACCATAATTACAGATAATACATCCACTTCCATAATCATGCCTATTATCTAAATAACTTCTTGTGATTGATTGAAGTTAACCATTATATTATTCATCCCCTGCTATGAATCCATCTTCACAGTTTTCTTCATATTTATTGTTTGTTAGGTAAGACACTTATTCACATTTAAAACTTCGCAATTACTTTACATCTCTATTTATAGAAAAATGGCTGTATTTTATGAGTTCCAAAGTTAATTAAAGTAAATATGTCGTATGGATCATCGCCTAATAACATTTAATATAATTTTATAATCACCACGTATTGTTTTAGATGGATGACAACAAATTGACTATATTAAACAAAAATATATTTTGTAGAGAAAATAAAATTTCTCTTTATATTTCAAACGTTTTTCATATTAACCATCCTTCTGCCATCATTTTATATATGAAGAGGAATTCTAATCTGTTTTAATGGTGATATAAAAATTGAAAATTTATTGCCAATTTAATGGATGTTATGTATTTTGTAATGTGGTGTTTCCAATAAAGGAATGACAGAACGCTGTTTAAAAATAAATGTTCCTGTCATGTGCCAAAGGGAAAAGTTGTATTTTTATTCAAATAGAAATATTTTTAATTATATAACAGATATCTATGAATTTCAAAGGACTTCCATTGTGAAAAAAAAAAACAATTCAGTTTATGTTTATAGACAATTTTTTTTCTATTTTGGCCATTTTAAATCTACATCTTTCTAATATTTTGAATTATTTTTCAACTCTTTATATTCTACAAATATTCCCTAAACATTCTATTGATTAGTTTTTATTAACTATAATAAAAAATTTACTTATTTAAAATTATACTTTTATTAGGGTAATATATCGACATGCTTATATTTATAGAATATTTTTTTATACCATAAATATTACACACTAAATTTCAAACAAGTTGATCAAAGATTAATAATAATATTTTAGTAATGTTTCCAGATATTCAATTAAAGCTAAAGTTCAACTAAGAAAATACTGAAATAATGCTATATAAATGGATTAGACTTTAAAAATAGAATTCAAACACTCTTGTAAGTTATCTGCATTTTCATTCTAAATGATCTAAAATTTATAATATTAATATTAATGAAAATTGTGTGTGAGAATTGTTAGTTAGCAACATCATTGCTTTACCTGAAACCAGTATATTCAGTGCAAGCAATTTTACCAGCAGCACATGCTCCAGAACTTGCTAAATTTTAAAAGCTTAAGTATATTCTGAATAACAAACATATTCTAAAAAAAGTATTACTTATCATCTCCAAATAATAAAGAAGAAATGGTATCACTTTCACATATAACTCTAGCATAATATGCTCCTGAATAATATTTACAACTTCCAGTTCCTAAATTACAATCTGCTTATGATGTAGGGGATGAAATTGTATTACTAGCTCCAACATTGATAATAACTGGGTCAGTATATGAAGGAACATTTACTGCAACTGCATCAACACTGTTAGTTGTAGAAGTTACTGAAATATATGCACATTATTTAATCGCTCCAGAATTATCTGATCTCAAACCAATAGGTAGATTAACCTTATGTAATTTCAGTTTATGAATAACCGATATATGCTATTTTAGTAACCCACTCACTCATAGATTACATGTTATAACAGAACATGTATCTGTTACACTAGTATTTTAACTACATAAGCCAGTTGAGTATTTTGTAACTGAATTGCAAACAAGTCTACTTAAGAGTATCTTCAGAACCATTCAATGTATAGCTAGTACAATCAGTTTCACTTTGCATGCAAGCAGTGTCTCCAAATTTATCTCTGCAATCAGTATGATATGGTAACCAATCTTCATTCCAGTTACTTCTGGTTTTAAACTAGATGTCGTAGATTTTGATATGCATCCAGTTCCCTTTGTAGCACATTAATCTGGTAATAATGCATTTCAATCCGAGTCAGTTTACCTAACTTTATTATCAGTACAATCTTTAATTCGGCCTTTGCCTCCAACACCTTAATAACATGGTTTAGTTTAATTATCTCCTTTAAAGTATAAGCAAGTAATTATAGTACCATGTACTACAAGTGAGTCTGGGGTAGTAACCCTTGGAACATGCTATTTTTGGTTTTCCTCTGATTTATAGGAAGTGACTATGTATAATAGTTAAATCAAATTTTTATTATTGTTATATTTTGATCAATAATAGATAAATATCAATTTCCTTTAATTAATTGTGATTTTATAGAAATAATTTTCTTAAAGGATCTTTTTGCTTTTAGAGAAGATTATCGAACTTTTTCATTCAAATTTGGTAGAAGAGCACCTTAAAATCTTAATTCGATTAAATCGAAAATTCATTCTTGTTTCTATTCCAACTAAATTTTAGGGTCAATTAGCAAGAAATCAGCATATTATGTAAAATTTTGAAGCTATCTCACTTTTTTCTATATTCTTTGATTTGACTTATTCGTCTTTTTAACATGACATCATGTGACTTGAAAAAATGTTATTCAAGTTGAATTCTACATCTCATTCACTTGGGAAATGGGATCTTTATATATTTCTATGAATTCTGGAATTATAAAATACAGTTTATTAACAACACGTTTTTATTTAAATGAAAATATAGAAATTGACGAAATAGCACCTAAAAATGTTCTCATTTTCTAATAATCTGAATATATTTACAAAACTTATGAAATTAAAAAAAAATTACTAAAATGATAAGATGCTAAATTATATTTATTAAAAAATTTCTTTTTGTTGAGTTTGAAAATTATAAACTCCTCATCTTATCTTCAATTAGATTAGGGAACCTTTTAGACATTCTAAACTCAAAATTATGCAAATTTAAAACTCTTATTTATCAAATGAATTCTAAAAGCATTCAAATTATAGATAAGCAGATGAACCAAGAAAATCATAAAATAATAATCTCCTTTCTAACTGATAGTATCAATTTATCTAATATTTAATCTTCTTACACTTGATCATAATCAATTGTGAGCCTCATTTCATTTTAAACTACTGTCCTAATTTTTAATAGTATCCCCTATTCTAATTGATTTATACCAATGCATAATTAACATCTAAATTTCCATATAAAATATGCTAAGTCTTTGTTAATTGTTTAAAGTGTTCCACTGTATTGAATTGTCTCTAAACACTTTTACTTTTTTGATATGAATATTCTCTAATCTGCTTCTAATCTTCTTCAAGAATTATCCCTCAATCTAATCTATTCAAAACTTCCTTTCCTCATAATGTTGCCATCTGAAAAATTGTTAGAATACATGATTTTAAAGCTCTCTTGATAGCAAGTCTTATATGAATTTAGTTCTGAAATATAATTAACCACAATTTTATAATTCAAAAATCATTCTAAGACCAAAAGAATAATAAATTTGTTTTTAAGTTTTAATACTTCCTATTTGAGGGTGAGATGTTAACTTATGCTTATACATCCTTCTAATATTATTTACCTAATTACTAAAATAAAGGAAAGTATTTTGCTTTATTTATAATCATTTGAACATGATTTTAGGATTCCTTTGTGTTAATTTCTGTTTTCAGACGCCTTGTTTTATTCTTCGATGATAAAACTCTAAAGGCAACCAAGCCTTCATATTGGTGTTAAGTTTTCCTTGGAAAGAAAGGTAATTATATGATTTGGATAAGCAATTACAGCCAATCATTCAAGATCAATATGCAAAATATGTACTTTTTCTTCAAATTTTACAATCAAGAATCAAAATTTGATTCTTTAACTCTTAAGCAGGTACTTTTCTCCAAACTGAATTAAATATTAATGCAACCATAAAATATTCGTTGTATTTTAATTTCATATCCTTTATTTTTTCACCCTACTATCTGTATTCAAGCAAGGCATCTGAGCCATATCAGTTGATATTACAAATCCTTACAAAATAAAAATTAATCTATTTTTAATTTCTCAAATTTTTAAAGTTGAATATTTTTATTATAATCTTTTATTCCAATTCTGTCCCTTTTATGACATGTATTAATCTTCTTTTTAATCTTTAAAAAATTCATAGATCTTATTAAAGAACTTACTTCAACATGCTTTTGGTCATTTTGAAGTGGATTTTCTGCTTACAAAATAAAAATTTAGTATTATTTAAATTTCTCAACTTAAAAGGGATTTCAATTTAAGAATTATATCATCTTTAAATTACAATTTCAACTTGAATCGAAAAGGAAATTTATATCTACTTATTTAAGTAAATCTTCATTCATCATCTGAGTGTTGCCTAGTGATAACTTTCAGGTGCGAGAATTAGAAGAACTTCATTAAGGTCTTCTATTAACAGAAAGATATTTTTAAATGATTAATGAGATTATATTTGAAAACAAAAACTTAATTTCGATGTTTAGGGTATCACAAATGCTGACTTTTTTATGATAAGTTTAAGGACATTCAATAAAAGATGATGGCTAAATATTGATTAAAAGATTCAAGTCATAAAATTGAAATTTCAATGTCAAATTTTTACTAAATAAAGGTTGGAAATGATCTTGCAAGTTGTCCTAAGAAAGGAGTTTAAAAAGAGGTATTTTCTAAAATTTTGTACATAATTGTAATACTTATGTTATTGAAATACTTTAACTGTAGTAAATCTTCCAAAACAGCTTATTAGTGGGCTTTAAGTTTACTTAGTAAATTTACATAATTTGAAGAAATGTTTTATAGTTTACTCAATCAAAAATTTTCTAACAGATAGTAATAATTACTAATTAACCCATCACCTAATTAAATGACAATAATGTAAGAATTCAAATATAATTTAGGATAACTTTCAAAAATGGCTAGACCTACTAATTCATACAAATGTTAATTTTTTGGAAATTACTTGAAAATTTTGCTACCCACAAAATTATACAATGAAGTTCAAGATAAATTTCTAGAAAATGAAATATTTTCCAATAGGGCTTAGAAGAATTCTTAGTTCTACTTCTTGAATAAAATTTACTTTAATCAATTTAGGAAGTGAAAGCGTTTTTTAATCCTTTTAATATTTATTATTTAAGATAATAATCAAGTATCTAGATTTTATAAGGTACGATATCAACCATAAATAATATGTTGCAATCTTTTTAGTCTAAATAAATATATATATAATAAATGTAACAACATAATACATAATGTTTGCCTTTTAATGATGAGAAGATTTGAGAACGTTAAGAATCTAAAGGAAGCTATTCAAATTTCTTGTTTCTATCTCTCCTCAAAACCACAGTATAAGAATTTGCTCAATCATTTACATTCTCCAGCATGCTTTGTACAACCTCATCTCCCTTACTCAAACAGTGATAGGTACAACAAGTGATTTGAATTCTCATTCTCTCTTCACATTTGGCCAATTTCATAGGAGCACACTTTTTCATAAATTTTTATCTCAATTTGAATTTTTAGCATTATTTTTATACCTATATTAGCATGCAATTTAGGTAATTCCTAAAATTTATGCCATTATATGTTGTAGTTTATAATATCCAACATTGATTGTACATAATGTACTTATTTTGTTGATCTTAAAACCTGGTATGATGTATACTACATTATTTCCTTATTATGGTTTTTGAAAAGATTGTGTTGCTTACTCTTTATTAGAAAATTATTATGTCACTATCACTCTATTTTCAGATAACTTTATAATTTGTGTAACTTTTGATTGCATAGCTTGATCAAGAGAGTGCAACATAATGTGATCTTTATACAGGTATTTCTTGATTAGCTCTTAAGATTAATGGTATAGTCTCTGGATTGCTTATGCAATCACAACTGATGCCCATTCTTTTGCAGCTGTTAAAATATTGAAACCTGTATATAAATTACTGAGCCATTAACTTCATGCATGGTTGAATTAGGTTAGCTGTCCGACAATTATGTCTTGATTGATTCTTCCTAAGCATGATATGTAATTAAAAGATTGTTTAGAGAATAATTGATTCATATCTTTGATATAGAGCAACTCTTATAATCATATTAGATTCCTTGCACTGCTTTATTATATCTATTGCTGCATTCAGTCATTGTTAATTACTTTTTTATATTCAATTTGAAGCATGAAAGTGAGATGCAAAAGATTTTTCTACTTCAAATATAACTACAATTCTAATTTATACTTATTGTAATAATAAATGAAGTTGTAATAGATGTGCTTAACAGGGTCCTAACTGCACTAATACTGATTCTTTTACACCTGATTAATATTTTCTAAATACTTGTAAATCCCTTAAATTATATGTGACGATCAAACGCATGCACACTTTACCTCTTCAATACTTTTTCAAACCTTACCCTCAACGTTAAACTCCTTCTCTTGCATGCTTGATGCTAAATTCAACTTTTAGTGCTGTTATGGCTATTAGTTTCTGTTTTAATTCTTCTTTACTTTACAGTGTTGATGGATTCTAATGATTGGAACGTATTACTATCAATTTTATAACTCCAAATTATCAGTACAATTATATACTAATATATGAATTGCAAATTCTAATGGTTAAGCAAATTAGGATTTGATGATTGCTCTCTTCATAAGATAATTGGAATGATTCTTGTAAGAGGTTTTATTAAAAGGCTTATTTTTATGGTGACAGCGACACTATTTTGCTCTATATACCCTAATTTTTTGTTTTGTTCTAGACAAAGAATCATCTCCTAGTATGTTAATAATGATTATTATTACTTGCTTAAATAAAAACTTAGAAAAATGAATAGAATTAATATCCAGCTATTTTATTCGGTCAACCAACTTATATGATTTAATTGATGATTTTTTGCAAATGATACAACTTGTGTCAATAATAGCTACCATTTCTTTACTTTTTGGTAAAACTAAATCGAATATGAAAAAAAAATTTTTTGATTACAGTTTGAATTTCACATAGACTAGTTACCTAATATTAGTTAATTGAGCTTTTAAGATGTAATTAAACCAGTAAATTATATTAGATGTTCATCCTTTTTTTTAGTAATATTAAAAAATGGAAGTACAATTTATATGCTGACTTGCCACAGCTAAGAGAGATTTTCTGTTAAAATAAAATTGGTTTTGTTCGAAAATTTGACTATTATGTTTATTCATTGGAGCCAGATTTCTCCCGATAATTAAAATTGCTATAAATGAATAAACAATTTTAAATAACATCCAGTAAATAGAGTATGCAAATTCTTTGGATAGTCACTTATACTCAGATGATACACTTCATCAGCTATATTAGAAAAATTCAAACAAATATCTATTGCATTATATAAATTTGAAGGTTTCATTGGAATTGCATTTTTTGTTTTCAGAGAGCCATCTAATACCTAAAATAAGATACAATGAATTTGGAACCAATTTGCTAGAATATGTTGAGGGTGCAGCAGAATAGGATAGAACTATATCAAGTTATACTCTAAGTGTTATCAAATTATATTATATTTAGTTAGTGTACTTCAGGAGATAGAGAGGATCTTTTATACTTGAATTAAATGATCTTATGATCAATTTAACTCCGAAAGATTTCATCTTTGCCTGTTTTCTTATATGAGTATTGTCTTCCTATTCATACTCCTGTTATTTCATTAGCTCATTAGGTTGAAGATCATCAAGGATAGTAATGGCAACATTATTAGCATAAAAATTTATTTGAACTAAAGTACATAAGCAACCTCTAACATTTTGATGAAGCGAGTGATTATCATTACTAATCTAAACTAACCTCTAATAAGGATTTGCGGCTGCATCTTAATTCATGGTAAGTAACCTCAAATATATCAAACTTCATCTATTTATCAAATTTTAATCCAAATAACCCTGTTCTCGACAAGAATAATTGACTAGTTTATTACTTTCAATAACATACGACATAGCCTTCTTAAAAAAAGACAAATGCTTTGAGGAGTTCCTAACAATATTTTGAAATTTGTTCATTTTTCCATCAGCATCTTTAACAAAATAAAATTCTTAATTAACTCTTTCAAATTTTTGAACTTATAAAACACATTATTTAATTCTATAACTTCATAGTTCAAAGTCCAAACATGACTAATGCTTAATCATTTATAAAATAAAGGCTTTCAGGCATATTGGGCAATATATAATTTTTGTCAAATTAAATCATACTCATTCCACCGTCGCCTATAGCCCCTTGGAATCTGGATGCACATTTTAAAATTCAAATGCATACTGTCATTTTCAAGATGAAATCTTCTAAGTTACCCCTTGCACTTTCAACTTTCTTCGTTTCCAACACCAAAATCTTTAGTTAAACTTCTTTTTTCAGAACGAGTAAGAATCTCTAATCCCGAAAACAATAGTTCAGTAGAATGCCAATCTTTTTACTTCTCATATTTTATTATTTCCTTTTCATTTGTCACTACTATGAAGTTACGCTCTTTAAGAAGAGCCTTTTGGTTTCTCATCAGCGCTTCAGATATAGATTTATATAGTTTCCTTTTTCATATTGTTACCTTTACTCTCCACCCATCTGTGGACCGATCAACTGTTGACTTTCACCGAATCAGAGTCGTAGATAATGATCTAGTTCTTTGGTTTCTAATGCAGCTCTTCGCAAATCTTAAAAATCTCCTCAAATTTTTTTCCTTATGCAAGGGTTCCTGCTCTCTTTACTGATGTAATTTCTCTTCCTTATATATTGACTGGTAGGTGATGTAAATTTTTGAGACTAATATGGCGAAAAGAATGCTTTAGAAGTTAAGGGTACTAATTGCCTTTTCTTCTCGCCGGATCTTATTCAAAATTTCAAAATTACTATTTTCATATTTCATTTTTTTCTTCATAACTGTAAAATGCTATGAACATATATGTTTTTCTAAGAATTTATCAATAATTGCCGAGACGTCAGGGTTTTTTCAAACTGCTACTTCTGATTTCGCATTTGTTAAAGCTATTAAATTTTCGCTCCTGAAATTCTATTAGAGATTGCAAAAATTAAAAAAAATATCTCGCTTTTCATATATAATTTAAATACAAAAAATAAGTTGTTATTTATTTATTTATTTATATTTATGTGAATAATCGTCATAGTTGTTGATATTTTCTAATAATATTCTATTATCATATCGACAAGAAATAACTTTATCTTGTTATTCATTTAAACTTAATTGATAAGCATAACTATTATGAACAGTGATTTTTTATTAACGAATCCATTCATTTTGTTTCATCCAAAACTTAATTGAGGAATCGCTATTACTAGAGATAAAAAGATCTTCATTGGTATTCAAAATTAAACAAAGGATTTAATTCCTATGTCCTTAAATTGTTTATGAGAAATTCCATTAATTATTATCATAGCTTGACCAAATTACAATAGATCCACCATTATCTCCAGATATTAACTATTTTGATTTTATCATGAATTTTAAAGTAAATACATCACCAATGTGTTAATTTAAGATTTGAATTTATTTCATCATTCCTTATTTGAATTCATAAATTGATATTTGACTATTACAACCAACTGCTACAATTGAATTATCTTGATTGATTGCAATTACAAAACAAAATTAATCTTGTTTAATTTTGTTATCTTTAATTATTTAATAAGTAAAAAGGTTTTGAATCAAATTAAGAAGATGGAGATTGAATTGATGTTATTTATTATTGTTATGATTAATTTGAATGTTATTAATCTGATTATAATTAAAATTGAATTTGGTCTTTGATTGTTGAATTGATTAATGGTTTAAGTTATTAAAGTATCTTTGATTAAAAGTTGGATTAACCAATGATATTGAATTAATCAAGTTTTGGCAAAGAATATTCAAATTTAGGATTCTTAAGTTTAGAAATTGGAATGAATATTTAGTCAATCAAATTGTTCATTTTATCAAAGGAAGTCTAAAATGAATACAACATTAAATTAATACATCTACATCATTCTCTAATCCTTTGAATAAAGTTTTTAACTCAATTATAACAAAAAACTTTTTTATTGATATTTTGTATTAAAAATGAAGACACTAATATTATATTGTCTTATCTTGAAATTCTCATAAATACAATCATAAATCTGGATTTGATATTCAACCCTTATCATAAGTAAATTTTAGAATCAAAATATCCAAGACCTTTGATACTTAGTGGGAGATACTTCACATGAAATGTTAATAAGAATTAAAGATAAACTAGCTACCAAGTTAAAAATATGAATAAATTAAACTAAAAGCCTAAGAATAATAAAGATATAAAATTAATAAGAGTTTTAATCCTAGATGTACATAGACTTGAGAAACTAGAATAAGTTTATGATTAAGGTTAAAATTGATGCTTAGAGAATGTTAATTGTGACAAAAAATTAAACTTTACTCTCTGTCATTGCAGTAGGATTTGCTTATTTTTTGTTATCTTATTTGAATTATTAATTTCTTCATAATATGTATGAGAATTGGTCAGCCATATTTACAATCATTGTCCAGAATTCTAACTTAGAGTTGTCAATGAATTTTTCCTTTTAGAAATTGGCTAGAAAATATTTTCATAATTTATTTACACAGGATTAATAAGTATTTATTCATTAATTTTTAAATGGTTCGCCTTGCATCCATGTTATAGGTTGTATAAAAATATTAATTTTTTTAATAGTTCGTTTATGTGTTTAATTATAATTTTAAATTCATAGAAATAGTTTTTTACCCAAGTGAAGATGAATCAAAGAATATTAATTGAATCAGATTAATAGATTAAAATATAAATAATTAATTGAAAATTTATTACAAAATATTATACTTAAATTAGATAAGAAAACTGATTACTTTAAGATAAATTTAAATGAAAGAGCTCATTAGTTGAATTTTTTTAAATAGATTGATATTATATATGAGAAATAATTTTAATAGAATTCAGATAATTGAAATATGTGTGTGTGAATGTATAAATTTAATAATAAAATAAAAAAATGATTTAATAAACAAATTTGAAGTTAAAATGCTAATAAGATAACCATAAGGAAGAAATTGATTTTATTTGTTATTATGAGTTCTGCACAGGATTTAGATTAAATTGTTTTGATTGTATTAAAATAGGAATCCATCATACACATTCTGATGATGTTAAAAAAGTTAACAGTTTGATTCCATTTATTGAAGGTAACAATAAAGAGTGTGACAATTTGATTGATGATCTTAACAAATATGTACTTAGTCTGAATCAATCATTCTCTTAATTAACTAAAGGAATCAGAAATAAATATTCATTAGTAAAAGAAAGGTTAGTGAATATGAATTCTTACTAAATTAATGATTATTTGAATTCAACTACTAAGTTAACTGAATATAAATAATCAATTTCAAAAATCATTTAGTAATAAATTAACAAATTAAATAATTCATTCAATAATTTATATGAATAATTGTAATTATACTTTAATTGATAATTATATATTAATCTATTTAAATTACTGATATCATCATTTAATTACTATTAAATTGATGAGAATGATTTGAAAATAGCTGAAGATCTATGCATTAATGGTAATATAAATATTTATTTCTTTTTTAGGTTAGAAATTATATTGGGATTAGAAGTATAATGAAGCTTTAGAATAATTAGACAAGTCAATTTTAATAAATCCTAATAATGAAGAATCTTAATGTTATAAAGGTTTAAATAATGATTTAATTTTAATAGGTGCATGCTTAAGGAGATTAGATAAATACGAGGATGCAATCACTTGGTTGGAAAAAGCATTAGTTAATGATCCAATACATTTTTATTCCTTATGCAATAAAGGTAGATTTCATTCTTGTTTCAATAGGTGTATGTTTAAGAATGTTAGATAAATACGAGAATGCAATCACTTGTTTGGACAGAGCACTAGCTATTGATCCCAAACATGTTTATTCCTTATGGAATAAAGGTAAATTTGGTCATCGTTTTATTATTAGGTGTATGTTTAAAGATGTTAGATAAATACGAGGATGCAATCATTTGGTTGGACAAAGCACTAGCTATTGATCCCAAACATGTTGATTCCATAAGTATCAAAGGTAGATTTCAATCATCCTTATATCAAAAGGTGTATGTTTACGGATGTTAGATAAATATGAAGATTCAATCACTTGGTTGGACAAAGCACTAGCTTTTGATCCAAAAGATGTTTTTTTTTTAAGTGAAAAAGGTTGTTTCATCATCCTTATATTAATAGGTTAATGTTTAAGATTAATGAAGTAATATGATAAATCTGAGAAGATTCTCCATTAAGCACTATCGCTCAATCCTAACCACATATTTAGTCTTGATAGCCTTGGTATGTGTTGATTAATATTCAGGAATTTGCTTATAAGATTAGCAGAAATATTAAGAAGCTTTGATATATTATGAAAGAAGTTTAAAGGTTTAATCAAACAATTTATGGACCAAAAATTAAAAGGGTATTTGTATTTTTCAATCTAGAAATTTGTGAACAGAAATTGAAAAAATGAATATTTCATTATTAAAATATAATTACCTTCTTCCTTTAAATTAGAATTTATATTGTTTATAATTAATATCCAGAACTCTATTCCAAAACCAAAAATTTTGTTAAATTATGCATTATTTATTCGAATTTCTATTTATTCATTTTAATTATACATGTTATCCATATTAATTTATATTGTTTTAATTTCTAATTATATTTATCTTCATGACAATCCTTTCAATGCAATATGCATATAATTTTAATTTATCATTATCCAAAATGACATCCTTCAATATATTTTNATTATCATCATTTAATTACTATTAAATTGATGAGAATGATTTGAAAATAGCTGAAGATCTATGCATTAATGGTAATATAAATATTTATTTCTTTTTTAGGTTAGAAATTATATTGGGATTAGAAGTATAATGAAGCTTTAGAATAATTAGACAAGTCAATTTTAATAAATCCTAATAATGAAGAATCTTAATGTTATAAAGGTTTAAATAATGATTTAATTTTAATAGGTGCATGCTTAAGGAGATTAGATAAATACGAGGATGCAATCACTTGGTTGGAAAAAGCATTAGTTAATGATCCAATACATTTTTATTCCTTATGCAATAAAGGTAGATTTCATTCTTGTTTCAATAGGTGTATGTTTAAGAATGTTAGATAAATACGAGAATGCAATCACTTGTTTGGACAGAGCACTAGCTATTGATCCCAAACATGTTTATTCCTTATGGAATAAAGGTAAATTTGGTCATCGTTTTATTATTAGGTGTATGTTTAAAGATGTTAGATAAATACGAGGATGCAATCATTTGGTTGGACAAAGCACTAGCTATTGATCCCAAACATGTTGATTCCATAAGTATCAAAGGTAGATTTCAATCATCCTTATATCAAAAGGTGTATGTTTACGGATGTTAGATAAATATGAAGATTCAATCACTTGGTTGGACAAAGCACTAGCTTTTGATCCAAAAGATGTTTTTTTTTTAAGTGAAAAAGGTTGTTTCATCATCCTTATATTAATAGGTTAATGTTTAAGATTAATGAAGTAATATGATAAATCTGAGAAGATTCTCCATTAAGCACTATCGCTCAATCCTAACCACATATTTAGTCTTGATAGCCTTGGTATGTGTTGATTAATATTCAGGAATTTGCTTATAAGATTAGCAGAAATATTAAGAAGCTTTGATATATTATGAAAGAAGTTTAAAGGTTTAATCAAACAATTTATGGACCAAAAATTAAAAGGGTATTTGTATTTTTCAATCTAGAAATTTGTGAACAGAAATTGAAAAAATGAATATTTCATTATTAAAATATAATTACCTTCTTCCTTTAAATTAGAATTTATATTGTTTATAATTAATATCCAGAACTCTATTCCAAAACCAAAAATTTTGTTAAATTATGCATTATTTATTCGAATTTCTATTTATTCATTTTAATTATACATGTTATCCATATTAATTTATATTGTTTTAATTTCTAATTATATTTATCTTCATGACAATCCTTTCAATGCAATATGCATATAATTTTAATTTATCATTATCCAAAATGACATCCTTCAATATATTTTCACCAAAAAGACAGCATTGAATATGCTATCATAAATTACATCATTCTTTTTAAATTTCGATTAAATTAGAGACAATTTTATTAAATATTGTATATTTAGATTATTAAATAAATTTTTTCATACAAATAATTTCAATAATTAAAAATCGCCATAATTTGCCTACATCAAATGCTTATATTAGTATTCCTTCAATATTTTTGCTAATCTCACTTTTATAATCTATAATAATTTACTAGAAGCGTGTTATTTTATAAGCTGAAATAAATTATGAATTGCATATGAATTATCCTCCTACGCTTTTTAAAATATTTCAAATTTCACATTTCAAATTATTTTGCTTAAATATTTTCCAAAGATTAAAGATTAAGCAAATAAAACAGAAAAACTCGAAAACTCTCGCTAACAATCGTGGAGACCGTTTAGATTTCTAAAAATAGATTACTTGATTGTAAGTTCAAAAAATCAAAACAATTCTAAATTACTATGATCATGAGTTCCTTAGAGAAATTAACCAAGAAAAATATAAATCTATCTTTCTATAGAATTGAGTATATCCTTAGGAATCTACAAGTGACTAAGATATTGAAGGAGTATTTTATCAGAATTAACCCAATTTTTAATTGCAGCGCACTAAAGTTAACAGTAAATTAATTGCATCAAAAGATTACAACACAAGTAATATTCATGCAACCAGGTACTATTATCTCAATTAGACAAATTATGGTGGATTGGCATTAGGCTTGGGGAACTAGAAATTTTAATATCCACTATTCAAATAAGAGATCATATCCAACCAACAAATTCAAATTATTTAATAATAAATTAAATTAGCTTTTTTATGATAAATTATAATTGAAAAGAATTCCTAAGATAGTTTTTAATCATTGTTTCAATGATTTCTTTATCAAAAGTCATATAAATAAAGTTATATTTATAGAAGAATTTTATCGCTTTATTAATAATATATTAGTAAGCATAATAATGATAAAAATTAAATAAGGAGATTATCTACTAATATCAAGTTTTACATTTGATATCCAATATATTAAAAGTTTATGTTAGCCTCAAGTTACTATGTAAGTTACAAAAGCCTCGATATTTATCATATTTAAATGGTTAATTCTACAGATTGGGATGGATGGGGATATTCCTTCTTAATTATAAAAATTTTTAGAAGAAATATAAAAACGGATCTTTCTCAGTGTTCTCTAATTTCAATACCTCTTTGTATTATTTAATAATGTCAATATTTTTTAGATAATCCTTAATAGTAGTCTAAGTTAATAATTGATTCGATGAAGGAATTTTACTTTAAATAGGATGCAAAAAATACATGTTTAAAACATATGTATGAATGAGAAAAATAAAAGTTCCAAATCAAATGCCTTTAACTATTATCATTGGATGGATACAATTCATAAAGATTCTATTACTTAAATAATAATAGTGATGAACTTTTTTCATAAAATATAGTGAATAAATTAAATATTGATTTAGGAATACAAAAATTGAGATCTCGATAGATGGGTTGTATTGCCTTTCTTAAGTTTTATTTCTTTATTGCTAAAGAAAAATTATATCTGATGTCGAATAATCAGAGGTTCTTTTCAAGACTTTATTATTATTTTTATTTCATAAAGTAAAAATAAAAAATATTTCTATTTGATTTGAAAAAATAGTTGTTGACTTTAAAATGGCTAGATACTAGAATATTTAATAATTAAGCAATAAATTATGGAAATTAACTTCATAGATGGAACTATTTGAGGATTCTTTTGCCATTTGCTGAATTTATCCAACCATAAATATATCTATTTGACGTTTTCCTAAATAAATAGTACTTAAATAGATCAAATTTTGGATATATCGCAAAAGGAATTTAAATCTAAATAACCGAAGCAAAAACAAGATTAGTTCATTTATGGGATGGGTTTTTAAGTAAATTAGAAGTAAAAATAAATATCAAATGTGGATTAAATATAAAATCAATGTGCGATTAAGTGACTTGCAAGATAGGTTATTCCTTTGAATCATTTATACGGCTTGAATATTATATTAAACAAAAATTTAATATCTTTCAATAGAATACATAATTCTAGTTGATACATACCTTCTAAGTTGATAAAAATAAATTTTCGTAACAATATCTTGATACTTTGATAGAGGCACTAAGTTATCTCTGGAAGGAGCTATGAATCTTGGAAATTAATAATTACATTTATTTTCACTGAAAGTATTCATCTTCCAAGTTTATTCTGAAATTTAAATAAATTACTTATGGGTTTCTTTAAATTTAAATTTGAAGATTGAGGCTTTAATTTTAGATTTTGAGATAAAACCAATTAATCATATTAAGAAAAAAAAAATTAAATGTATCAGATTCATAAGTGAGGAAAAATTTTAATTAATCATGACGTTTACCGCTTGCTACTATCTCCTAATGAATAGTATGCAGCTATAATTTGTAGGAGGTGTGAAGGTAACGAAGAAGGGGGTTATTTTCTATTTAGAATTATGATCTAAAATCTACAAAAGAATAGCTTTAGGATTATGGGCATGGGTGGAGTATTAATATGAAAAAAGTATTAAACATTGTTTTGACTGTTATTCTAAATATTTTTTTGAGGTCTTTCAACAAATCATAACATTAGTTGACCTATAGAAAAAAACATAAAAAAACATTTATTTAGGAATGAACCATTTTTTAGATATCGATGGTGATGGTTTCATATATGTGCTAGGGCTTGAGGGTGTACAATGATATTCAATAAACGATGAAGAATTCCAAGCAGGCTTTTCGTTTACAAATATTGGAGAATTCCAACAAGGCTTTTCATTTGATAATACTATAGACTTCAAAATAGTGTCCAACTTACCGAACTATGCAGTGACAATAGAAGTGATATAACAAAAAAGGTGGGTAATTCTGAATCATTCAAAAATATCAAAAAGAATAGGATAATCCAAACTTAAAGGATAAGAGATACACTCCTTAGAGAGCCTATTTTTCTTTGAAATTTATCAAGAAGATGGAGATATGGATGAAAATTGGTATTCTTTAAGTGGTACATTGGGACAAATGAGATCTGGCAAAATAGTCAGAAAAGTNTTTTCAAGACTTTATTATTATTTTTATTTCATAAAGTAAAAATAAAAAATATTTCTATTTGATTTGAAAAAATAGTTGTTGACTTTAAAATGGCTAGATACTAGAATATTTAATAATTAAGCAATAAATTATGGAAATTAACTTCATAGATGGAACTATTTGAGGATTCTTTTGCCATTTGCTGAATTTATCCAACCATAAATATATCTATTTGACGTTTTCCTAAATAAATAGTACTTAAATAGATCAAATTTTGGATATATCGCAAAAGGAATTTAAATCTAAATAACCGAAGCAAAAACAAGATTAGTTCATTTATGGGATGGGTTTTTAAGTAAATTAGAAGTAAAAATAAATATCAAATGTGGATTAAATATAAAATCAATGTGCGATTAAGTGACTTGCAAGATAGGTTATTCCTTTGAATCATTTATACGGCTTGAATATTATATTAAACAAAAATTTAATATCTTTCAATAGAATACATAATTCTAGTTGATACATACCTTCTAAGTTGATAAAAATTAATTTTCGTAACAATATCTTGATACTTTGATAGAGGCACTAAGTTATCTCTGGAAGGAGCTATGAATCTTGGAAATTAATAATTACATTTATTTTCACTGAAAGTATTCATCTTCCAAGTTTATTCTGAAATTTAAATAAATTACTTATGGGTTTCTTTAAATTTAAATTTGAAGATTGAGGCTTTAATTTTAGATTTTGAGATAAAACCAATTAATCATATTAAGAAAAAAAAAATTAAATGTATCAGATTCATAAGTGAGGAAAAATTTTAATTAATCATGACGTTTACCGCTTGCTACTATCTCCTAATGAATAGTATGCAGCTATAATTTGTAGGAGGTGTGAAGGTAACGAAGAAGGGGGTTATTTTCTATTTAGAATTATGATCTAAAATCTACAAAAGAATAGCTTTAGGATTATGGGCATGGGTGGAGTATTAATATGAAAAAAGTATTAAACATTGTTTTGACTGTTATTCTAAATATTTTTTTGAGGTCTTTCAACAAATCATAACATTAGTTGACCTATAGAAAAAAACATAAAAAAACATTTATTTAGGAATGAACCATTTTTTAGATATCGATGGTGATGGTTTCATATATGTGCTAGGGCTTGAGGGTGTACAATGATATTCAATAAACGATGAAGAATTCCAAGCAGGCTTTTCGTTTACAAATATTGGAGAATTCCAACAAGGCTTTTCATTTGATAATACTATAGACTTCAAAATAGTGTCCAACTTACCGAACTATGCAGTGACAATAGAAGTGATATAACAAAAAAGGTGGGTAATTCTGAATCATTCAAAAATATCAAAAAGAATAGGATAATCCAAACTTAAAGGATAAGAGATACACTCCTTAGAGAACCTATTTTTCTTTGAAATTTATCAAGAAGATGGAGATATGGATGAAAATTGGTATTCTTTAAGTGGTACATTGGGACAAATGAGATCTGGCAAAATAGTCAGAAAAGTGGTTTTTTCAGAAATGCGTGACAAATAATTTATTATAGATTTAACTCAGTACAAGTATTTTGATATAATTGATTATGACTAATTATTCATATTTGATGTATTGAGAGGTAAGCAAAAGCTAAAACCAGTTTAATTCGACTATTTGGGTGTCGTTAGATTTTCAAAGAATACTATCCCGTACGCAAATGGACGAGAGATTGAATTTATAAGATTAAAATGAAATCTTATCTCCCATCATTACAATTCTTGTTATTGTTGTTTTCTACTTAAGCAACTGTTAAAGCTAATTACACCAAAATTCAAATGAATGAAAAGATATGTAAATTAACTCTTTCCAAAATAGGTAACAATCCAATATTAAAATTATGTATGGAAATGCAACAATCAACTAACTTAATTGTTTATAGTAATATGAAGAAGCGATATATAATATAAACGGAACTTAAAAACAACTAAATACAATAACAAGAGTGAAAATTTCTTAATCTTACTTTTTTTCCATATTTGGAAATAATCTGTATCTAATTAATTAACTATGTTATATAAATTCACATATATAAAATTTCCTATATATTTTCTATCTTTTATTTAAAAAGTCAAATTAGTTGTTTCTCAAAAGACTTAGAGTTATTAGTACAAATCTTGTTAAAAATCTAAATTAACCAAAGTAGATGTATGGGAATATTTTGGATATAGTTTATAGGTAAATAATAATCAAAATTTATAAAGGTTAGTTGCACGTTTGACTTAATCATTAATGGCCTTGGAAGATTCGTCAACAAAATGAAATAATATTAAATTCAATAACAATTACAAATAAAAATTAATTTTCTTTTTTTTGGATAATATCATTTATCACATCAATCCTACATCAATCCTACATCAATTCGATTAAGTTCTTTTCGTTAAGTAATTTTTAATTCTCTTGTTTACCAACAAACTATCATTATTTTTTTATCATAATTCAAAATTAATAAAAAATTAGAAAATATATTTACATCATAAACACATTAAAGAAATCCCTAGATGATAGGTTAAAGATGAGAAAGAGTTTGAACTATTTTATGAGAGTAAATTCTATCTGCTTTTTTTGACATAATGCAAATAGTAAATCTTTTTAGGTCTTAAAATATCTCCAATTACTTTAAATTTTCTCCTCAAAAAAATATCTTTTTTTTCTGTTGAGCTTATTCCTCGAACTTAATATTTCATTTTCTGTCTCTGATATGAACACTACTTAACCTTAATTATTCCATGCCTTAAATATGAGAAGCAGCTACATAAACATCACCATCTCTTCTGACAAATTATCAAGAACAAGTATAATCCTACTCACATTTAAGTAATTAATCCATTTTGGTGTTTTTTTTTTTGAGCTAAGTAATTAATTATATCATAATGAATATCTTAATTCTAATGTATTCAAGGGATTTTATACTTTTTGAAACTCAAAAAAGTTGCTGTTAAGGTTGAAATTCATAAAGAAGAAATTTATTATTTTCCTTTTCTAATATTAAGTCAGAAAAAAGCATAGGGGAATAGAGAAGGAAGCATTCTTTTAGTTTTATTTGGCCATAAACTATAGTGAAAGTACTGAAATAGATTTTATACTAGTAAAAAAATTTGATTTTTCCTTCTAATTTTGTAGGTCTACATCAACAAATTTGGGGGTAACACAAAAAAATGAATATCAGATAATTAATCCAATTATTTTCCAACTACTTTGTTTAGAATAGTTGGCAAGAAGAATTTAGCGCTTTAATATCCTTAGACCTTTCTTATTGATGATTGAAAATGGGCATGTGATGTTAGTTGATTTAAATAATTAATCGTAGACTGTTAGTAAGTAGCTTAAAAAAGTTCTTAATTTAATTAATTTTGTGATCATTAAACATAATAATATTCAGAAATTTAGAGAGTAATGTTTGAATTCTGCTCTGAATTTTAGAGTTAATCAATAATCTAATTAGTTTATGAGATTTTCTATCTACGATATACTTTGGTAGCTGATTAATTTTGATAATTAAATCCAACCAACCGCCAATTAGAAAATAGATTTTGTTCCCAATATATTGGAATCCTTATTTTGATTTAATGTTTGACAATGTGCCATTATAAAGGAGTGAAATTTTGAGTGCCTTCTTTTAGGGGCTTAGGCTTACTTAAAAGAAGATGATTTAGACTATATTAACTTTTTGGTTTGTAATTGAGGTATTAATCATAACAATAATAGATGTCACAGACAAAAAAGAATAATTATGGTATAAGATTTACAGAGAGGAATCAATTAAAGCTCCCAAATTTAAGGCTCTCAAAATAAGAGATGTTTTCACCATCTGATATGAAGGAACTATATATTTAAACATTTAAAGGTAGATTAATTGACCAACTTAGAAAAAATTTTGGATAACTAACAATATTAATTGAAGAGTAAAGATGTTGAAAGATTATAGGAGTGATAGGAGTTTTCTTCGACTAAATATGTAAGGATGTTATTGAAGATATTTAAAAGTTGAAATTACGGTATGAAATAAACAGGATGAGGCTAGATATAAAGATTGATTTATTTTGTTCTTGCTTAGTTCAAAGTTCAGCGGTCATGATATTTATTTTAAAATCTTTGATTTATGTAACTTTGATCCAAAAATTTAAAAATTCTTAATTTCAACCTTAGTAGTAACTTTCCAATCAATCAATTACATATTTTCCTTAAGTTTTATAAAAATTTATCACACTGCTTATTTATATAATAAATAAATTTAAAATCTAAATACGATAATTTATACGCGGTTGGTTGAATATCAATTTTAAAAAGTTAGATCCTTACTATAATTTAATAAATTCTCCTTAAGTATGCCATAAAATAATAGATTTCAAACCTAGTTTTTAAATTTATTTATTTTAAATATCAAGTAAAGGCTAACTACTTGCTAAATAAAGAGTACTTAGAGAGTAATCATGAATTAAAGCCAGCCAGGATAAGCCGAAATAAATCAAATATAGGTCAATACAAAATCTTGTTCTTTTTTTGATTAGGCTAAAAAATTAAGTTTCTAATAATTAAACTAATTCATCTATCTTTCAACAAAAACTAGAAAATATAATTGATATGAAAAATATTAATTCTTGATTTTTCAACACTGATGTTTTAACTCCAAAATATGCATCAAGGATGACATAAATCATATATGATTAAATATTTGCCATCTGTAGTCATAATTGTGGCATTCCAAATTGAAGTTGAAATTTGATCCTCATAATTTAGTACAATCATTATACACTCATCTATATTTTAATATTTAATGATAGATATTTTAGAAGCCAACAGATAATAGCAACTTCTTGCCCTAACGATTATAAATTTGAAATTTGTATGTCATCGTTAATTAGCTAATGTCGATAGATTTTATTCAAATTAGCGATTAAAACAAATTTTTTCGTGGAAACAATAAAATATCTTGAGTTATTATGTAGATCTTATAGGCTTACTAATTAAGTTTAATATTTTATCTAATCGTAACTTAATCATTTTTTTTCTTCCATCAATAACTTCTATATGCTATCTCCTAATGCAATAAGTTAATTCCTCTCTAAAGTAATTTATAATTAAGTTACCTTTTAAATGGAACATTTATAGTCTTTAGCATAGATTTTTAGCAGATTAGATGGACTATTCTAAAGGAATATTAGGTGGGAGTTTGTTGCTAACAAATAAAAATGTACTTAGGAAATGAATTATTATAGTAGTCATAATAGGCTAAAATTAATAAACCTCATGTTTAATTAATATTTCTAAAATTAACACTCCATCATAGCATATCTGCTTTGTTTCTCTACCTTCCTCTCCAATTTTGATCAAATTTAGAGACTTTGAATTTATCTAAAATTCAGTTTTGTTCTACAATCATATATTAGACTTGCCAATAAATTTTAATTATCTTTATAAATTCTACTTTCAGACAAATTGAAAAGAATGCATAACTATCCAATTAAAAAATCCAAAAGTATTTAATTAATATGATTCTTTTTCAGACCCAAGATTAATATGATTTATATATCATTAAATTAGGCACAACTAGCTGGAATTCTAAATAGTTTTGGTTAAGTATTATAAAAATTGCCTCTTTATAGCTATTTGATCCTTTACAAGTTGCTTTGAGATTAGCAAACTTAACAATTAGAAGTAAGCTTTTTTAGTTTGTTTTTATATATAAATCATTTTAAAGATTTTATAACTTAATACTTTCTTTTTCATATTTAAAATTAAAATGCAAATCAAATTAAATTTTTAAAAGAATAATATAAATTTCCCGCCATTCTAAAGCGTTAAAAATTAATGCTTTTCTTGTGATATTTTGGTTCATTAAGTTAGACAATATTAAATTTCACTTTTTTCTCAGGTTCTGGTCTTGGCCCAGCATTTCCAATTGTCAAATTGATCCTCTCGGTAATGAATTAAATAGAAAAGGTCCTACATTTTTATTGTTTTAATATAATCTAAATTAGTAGGATTTTCAATATAATTTACAGATTGAGCTTTATAAATATATATTTAATTACTTGTTTAAATAATTAATAAGTTTTTAGAATATCAGACTCAGCCCTTTTTACAATCTCCTGAGAAGATTTAATATAATCTCCTAAGAACATTTTTTTTCTTTTCAAAACTCGTAATCCAATTCTTTCATAAATTCTCATAAATTCTTTGATGCCTTGTAAAATTTGGTGGTTATTCATCCAAATGTCACTTTACTTTTATGACAAACCTTAGATATTTCTAACCTTTATTTTGAATATAAAAAATAATCAAATCTGTCTTAACTATGTTTTTATTTGAATTCAAAATTAATTCCCTTATTAAATTGCAGATATAACAAGATAATCTTCCAATTTCTACATTTCTGTAATTTCTAGACAAATTAACAAGCATTTTCAAACTATTATTTGCTTTTTCAAAAATAAATTATTTATTAAATGACACTCTATTTTTCTAAAACATATGCTCTTAGGTTAAAATTTATATAAACAGATTTATGAATAAATAAAAATTAATTTCATTAAATTCATTAAATTCAAACAACAACTCATTATTCTTTAATTTCACATCTTTGCATTTCATGTGAAAGATATATAATAGTATTTGTCACAATAAATCTAAGGATGGACAAAATATAAAATTATATTCGACAGTACAAAAATGTTTTAATTTAGCCATAGAATTGAAGTGTTGAGGTAGCTTTGAATAAATAATACATGGTTTGTTATAATTTCTAAAACAAAGTTATTAAATTTTATCTCAATAGATTATGTTTGCTGTGGGTGGGGAATCAGATGTAAAAATTGAATGCTTTAAGCTTAAGAATAACCTTGATTTCGCTTGATTTCGCATGATTTCGATTGAATTTGAATAGAGATTTTTAAATTTCTGTTGAATATTCCTGAAGATAGTTTCTCTGAGTAGATTTAGACAATATAATTAATCAATCATTTATATTACCTTATTTTTGTTGAATCTAAAGCTATTTAAGTAAAACCAAATTTATAGAATAAACAAGAAATTATTTGTTTTAATATGTAGAGTCAGATTGGTGAGTTTTGTCAATATTCTGCGTGATAATATATTACCGTCTAAATATTTATATGGTTAAGAAACCTTAACTCTAACTTAATTCTTTTTAAACTACTCCGATTCATGGCACTAAATTCTGAAAACATTGTTAAAAAATCTGTTCTTATAAGAATTCCCTTTATTGATGTAGTAAAGAAATAAAGACTTAGCAATTCTTAATTGATAAACTAGAGAAAGAAGATTAAGATTGGGTTGTGATGTAGATTTAAAATTTATAATTTTATTATCATAATATAAATGAAAAAAAATTCAACTTTCACCCCTTCCTTACAACCTGTAGTAAATGATTTTTAAACTTGTTAGTATTGTTAAAATAGATTTGGTTGTCGAGTTTCAATTTTCAATTAATTTGCTTTAATTTTAAGATTTTTCTTTACTCACTGCTTGTCATTTTTTACTTAGATACTTTTTTAAAATTAAAAAACCTTAAATTAGATCAAAATCACAAATTAATAATTTAAGAAATTGGTCATTTCTTTGTTCGCAAAAAGTCATTTAATTTTTAAATAATTGTTTTGAACAGGTATACATTAAATTTAGATTAAATTCTAGTAGGAGTAATTGTTTATATAAGTAGCTACTAATTATTCATCAAGATTTAATTGACATTTATTGAAATACTATTTCGAATTGAAACATAATGAGAGTTAAAGATATAATTTTGATTATGTAATTAATTTAGAAAATAAAAAGAACTTTTATGTACTAAGAATCATAAACTTTCAATTTATATGGATGTTTCAGATAAATTATATATAATCTGATTAAGTTAATAGAATTATTAAGATTTAATCAATATAAAATTTATTGATATTCATTAATAATGATAATAATCTTCATTTTAATATCTATAACTCGTCAGACTATAATTTATGAGTTTAATGCTAATTCTTAAACAAAAGATGGTAATTTCTTTATTTATATTAGGATGGGAAGGTAGTTCTAATTTCGATACCTGTGTCTTCTATTATAGTAGGATTTTTTTAGATCTAGAACCTCATTCTCATATTACAGTGAATGCCCAATTTATAAGGTATTTAATATACTTAATAACAAAAGCATTGATAGCAATCCTCCAACTTAATTCTACATAGACTCAAAAATATAAATAATGTGTAAGTGATATCATCTTAAATTACGATGTGCGGCGGTGCCTAATCTCATATTCAAACTATTTCTATTACAAATTAACATAACAGAAGAACTCTGTGGATATCTATTAATTAGCAGCCTGGAGGATTAATATCATTAAAATTAAGTATCATAAAATGTTTGTTTGAATCTGCTGGATGCATAGATAATTATCAT